CCTGCAGTAATCCAAGGAAATAGAGCAATATGTCAAAGCTGTGTACCTACCTCACTTCATCATGGAGTATGTACTTGTAGACAGGTGGTGCCTCTTGGTGCAATGCCAGTACAGACAACACAAATGGGATGAATTGCATTAGAGTCCTTGTCAATGGCAATAAAAGGGATAGGATGGGAAGAAGGGACAAACCAGCTACCTTACCTAGAACCCAATTCTGCGTTAAACCATTTCTAAATCAGGGCAGCAGTCTAGAATATTTTATTATACAAGGGAATGTGTTATTCAGAGAAAAATAATCTATGTTTCCTATGCAGAAATTCAACCTAGGCGATTCGATTTTTGAAGACTAATGTGAGCATATTTTTAATAGGTGTACCTACTGACCAATTGCAGGCTGACAGCCATTTTTTTGAAAGAAGGTAGCTAAAGTGCAGCTAGTTTTGGGTATCTGGATTTATTTATAGCAGGAACACTGTTGACATGTAGTTTACATGACCTCCTTGGTTTGTTTGGGATTTGTTGAATGATCCAATTTCTGTTCAGTGTCCAAAACTATACTAAAATGCAATTCAGTGTCCAACCAAACAATTTTGCTTGTTTATGCCTTTGTGATTGTGGGTGGGGTAATTGGCTTGCAAGCTGCAATGGAGAAAAAACTGATACAAAATTATGGACAATATTTACCTTTATTTTAATACTGTTCCCCGAAAAAGTTTTTTGTCTGTTGGATTCAGATCTGTCCATTGTCTAATGTACGTGCCTGGATTTAGTCAAGTCAATAAAAGTATGCACTGTAGTTCCGTTGCTTAGTTAGGGAGTGCAGGGAAGTCTGTCAATAAATAAAGGTGTCAGATATGGGTCTTCTTTTCCATTAAGCTGGCATATCCCTTTAATCTCTCTTCTTTGTTCCCTGAGCTTAAATATATTGTGCACACATAGGCACATACACATGCACATACAGACACATCAATATTAGCCTTACTTGCCCTCTCGAGGTAGTTTCCTGATCTCACTGTCTCATTGTGTGTAAAGCCAACTAAATTTATTTCATCACCCCACAGAGATGGACACTTCTCACTCTTGGCAATCATTAATCCACTGTTTTGGTCACTGATTCTGTAAGAGTCTGTAGGTGGAAAGTGTTCTCATCTGGAACTAAATTCTGCATATTTATATTTTTAAAAGGAGAGAAAATTGTCTGTGCTATGAAACAGTGCAGGGCCTGAAAACCTCCATGACAAGATTTATGGTACACTGCTTTCACTAACACCCACTCCATGTCAAACCCATTGAAGACACTTGATTACCTTCTACAGCTGAACCCCAGGCATCCACCTTTATTTACAGCATCTTTAAAATATTGTTCGCAGAACGTCTTGGTTTATAAAGGCAAAATGTCTGGGCAGCAAAAGTGACTTCATATAGCTTAAATCTCATCCATGCAATGTCTACGGAATGCTTTGGCAATAAAGATATGCTCTTGGCATGTTATTTAAGGGTGCTTATAGCAGATGTAAAGAAGCAGATTAAAACAATGAAGAGACATGTTTACTTTTCAAATTCATACTGTCCTTTTCATTGATCAGCAAATCTGTCACTTGTCTATTGGGCCAATCCATGAAATTGGAGGAAAGAAAACAAGCTTAAATTCAGAGTTATTGCTTTTACTTTGCTTTTAGGTTTTCCCTTTCATTTTATGGAAATATTAAACAAGGATTCTTATTGGTTGCAGTGAGCAACAACTCTGTTTTTTGCTCACTCTTTGTTCCCCAGTTGTTATGAATGCCAATATGTCTAAATGTATGGCGGAATGCTGTTTAGAGTCTGGAACTCTGCACAGGTGCATGCCTGGACTCTGGAGATGGCCAAATACCCAGAAACGTTGTTATTTTACTGTAACAGGTCTGTGCTTGGACTCTGGCGCTAAGTTTTTAAAATGGCTACATGCACAGAAAATGTAATATTCCATTGTAACAGTTTTTTGGACATCAACAAATACTGTGGAAATGTGTTTTTATGTAATGGTGCTTTTTATTTTATGGAGGTTATTTACTAAAACTGAAGAGTGCAAAATCTGGTGCAACTTTTCGTAGAAACTAATCAGCTTCCAGATTTTATTGTCAAAGCTTAATTGAACAAGCTGAAGTTAAAAGCTGATTGGCTATCATGCACAGCTGCACCAAATTTTGAGTGCACCAGTTTTAGTAAATCTACCCCTGTGTGCTCAAGCATTGTCTTGGTGACAGGTTCTGTTAAATACTACTACTTAAAAGCTACATGTTCCATTGCAGACTATTGACTGTTTATGTTGTGACATCATTGCCAGCTTTTGAATTTCCATAGTTATAATAAACATCTGAATAAATTATATAGAGATGATACTACTACCTCCAATTAGATATTACCACTAAGTGGTGCAGATAAAGTCATGCATTTAATCTACGTACAATGTATATGGCACTGGCCCTGGGAAGGAAACCTTTCCATGTTTACGCTCTGTATAACGAGGTTTTAATGTTAGCGTTTCATCCTCTTTTTTTATCTGTCAATTTCTCTTTCCATCCATTCATCCTTTCCTCATTTGGTTGTTAAGACACTACAGGTTCACCACTGCTAGAAATTTTAAAAACTCTATGTATTTTGTGAATGTGTGTTCGCACATTGGGAAAAACAGAATATGTGCTCTATGGATGTATTGTACACCTAGAATATACTGGTGGGAGATCTACTGTTGCTGAGCACTGTTATATAGCAGAGGCATAGCTTGACGCACTTGAAACCCAGTGTGAGTTATGAGATTGGACCTCACCTAAGGTTTAATCCCATACTCACTGCTCTAGATTAAAATCCCTAACCGCCATAACAGCCATAACACATAACACCCCTACCCTATTGCCTACTGTAACCCACATAAAGCTCCTTCTGCACCCAACCCACTCGTATGCCTACTCCACCTTGTACAGTATATCCCCTCTTCCCCAGGAGAAATGACCAGCCACATACTTTATCAAAGTGATGGCAATGAAGAGGGCATTTGTATATAGCTAGATTGACTGTATCGGTCCTTAGGAGCAGAAGTCGGTCTTGACCCAGTTTCAAGCTTTAATATCCCTGTTTCTACATTAGTGCTATGTTTAGGCAGTAGAAATGCATGGTGAATCCTCCTGCATATTATCATTAATTACGGCTGTCATTTTCACTTTAGCCCGTGTTTACTAGGAATACCCAACCAAATTTAAGGGAGTTAGAGTAAACAGTTGAGCCTGTGACATATATGCAGGGGCGGACTGACCATTTGGAAACTCGGGCACTGCCCGAGGACCCGGGGTCAGTAGGGGGGCCCCATGAGATGCCCCTGGTACCTTTTTCATAGGCTTTTTTGAGTGTGGGCAAGGACACAGGGGCCCCATGATCCCCTATTGCCTGGGGGCCCCATGAGTTGTCAGTCCACCCCTGCATATATGCATACATTCAAACTAAATTTCCTGGTGATAGAAGTCATTTTCTGAAGCTTGGGATAGGGTTCAGAATAGAGGGACCTTAATGCACAGCCTCCCATACACCTCAGAGAAGGATGATCCATAGTACGCATAGGTTCTGCAAATCTTGGCAGTCCTCACTCTGATGTGCACTTACACCAGAATTGGCACAAACAGCATAGCTCTTTTTTGCGGTGTCACCAGCTCAATGACAGGCAAAACAATGGGTGGGCTTTCCAGCAGAAGCCACCGTAATCAAATTAATTTGTGATCATTTCTGGCTTCAGACATTTACAATTCAGATTTTTCCTGGATTTTCACCACAAACTATCCTGAACCTCACTAGAATTTTGAAAAGAGAAACACTGATTAATTTGCTAATTAGTCCTTCAAAAATTGGACATTTGATACTAATAACTTCATTAATTAAAACCCGTTACATCTAAAAATATGTTATTTTTCTTTTGAATGGCAAAGAGAAGCTCCCTGCCAGAACTTTGTTTAAAATTTGAAAATTCACATGCCCTACCGCTGTACAGTAAACAATATTTGAACCGGCTGGTTGTTTGCTCAGAACGGACCTTTCAGCAAAACCAATGCAGATGTAGGAGGACTAGTCCAGAATTCACTGTACAGAAATGGAATGCTGTCAACTCCTTTTATTTTGGTTTCTGTTTGATGGTACTTTCTTTAGGAATACTTTTAAAGCCTATTAAAGGACAGGTCTTGTGTACATATAAACAGTGACATGCAAAGTGCACTTCAGGAGGGGTTCTGGGAGCCTGGTTGAGCAGTTAACAATGTATGTCTAAAGATTGGTTGTGTGATTCCAGGGCAGACGGCAGTGCTGCAAGAACCGCAAGCCATGAGCCAGCCAGCAGCAGGTGTGAACTACATAAAACAGGATTAAGAGAGTGCCAGAGTGTACACTAAAAACAGAAACCACACGCCCCTATTGCCCCATCTTCAAAGAGATAGGAGTCAGAAGTCAGTGGCAGCCTTGCATTCCCTGTTTACTAAACAGCACTCAGTTCCCTGTGCAAACTGATCTGTTCAGCTGCGACAAGCTTAACCCTTCATTAAAGACAGTCAGAGGCAAACTCCTTTAAATAGGGTGCGTAACAAGCTTGGATCTTTCACATTTCATTTTCTTTGTGATAACATCTTGTTGGATACGTGCCAAAATATTTATCCTAGAAGTTAGCAGCAGGTTTCCAAAGTTGAGCCATGAAAAAAAAATTGGAAAATACCTTTTTTTTTCTTTTTTCTTTAAAGTGGCACTGTTTGTCCCATTTTATTGTCCACTTGTCATGCCTGTAGCACTGTAGGCTTGTTGCCCAGTGATATAAGTCTAAGTGACACTGTTTATTGCTCAACCAGAGCTTTGGCACTGGATACATTGTACCAGCCTATATGGAGTCAATGCATGGTCTGGCCCACATCTGGTTTGGGTGCTGAATTGGTTGAATGAATTCTGGGAAACATAGTTCCAGGATGCCAACTACATCACAGGTTGTGACCAGGGGCGGACTGACCATTTGGAAACTCGGGCACTGCCCGAGGGCCCGGTGCCAGTAGGGGGCCCCATGAGATGCCCCTGGTACCTTTTTCATAGGCTTTTTTGAGTTTGGGCAAGGACACAGGGGCCCCATGATTCCCTATTGCCCGGGGGCCCCATGAGTTGTCAGTCCGCCCCTGGTTGTGACCCATTGTTGCTCTTCCTCAAAACTGCGGGGATTAAGGCTGGAATAACACCGTGAATTGCATTAATGTGCACTTGTTAAAACAATGCTTTTTTATACATCAAGGCACACCACATTAAGGCAGCCCATACGTTTGGGGCTTTAACCACTTGCCAACTGCGCTTTAGCAAATGACTGCTACAGCATGGTTGTCCAGTTCTGGGAGTGCGTCATATATGATGTCCTCTGAGAACACACCCTCCCACCCGCCCCCAGCAGCGCGCACCCGGTGATCGCCATGATCGCTGTGTCCTACGGACACAGCTGATCATGTGATGTGGTAAACGGCCAATCTCAGTGGCCTTTTACCACGCGGTCAGCTGTGTCTAATGACACAGCAGATCACCGGGTAAATACAGTTGCTGGTTATAGGCTGCACTTTCCTTATGCTGCCAAGTGTGAGGAAGGTACTGCCGATAACAGGCAATTGTCAGAGAACAGATTGGCACTGATTATCAGGGCACTGATGATCAGTGCCCAGCAGTACTGTCCAACAGTGCCACCCATTAGTGCCCAGCACTGCCTCCCACCAGTGCCCAGTGCCACCCACCTGTGCCAGCAGTGCCCAGCAGTGCCATCCACCTGTGCCCATCAGTGCCACCAACCTGTGCCCAGCAGTGCGTAGCAGTGCCACCCACCTTTGCCCAGCAGTGCCACCCTTCAGTGCCCAGCAGTGCCACCCACCAGTACCACCCATCAGTGCTGTCCAGCAGTGACGCCAGTCAGTGCCATTAGGCAGTGCCACCCATCAGTGCCCAGCAGTGTTGCCTATCAGTGCAGCATCATCAGTGCCACATATCAGTGCCCATGGGTGCTGCCTATCCGAGCCACCTCATCAGTGCCCATCAGTGCTGCTTATCGGTGCCCTTCAGTGCTGCCTATCAGTGCCGCCTATCAGTGCAGCCTCATCAATGCACATCAATGAAGGAGAAAAATTACCTGTTTGCAAAATGTTATAACAGAAACAAAGAAAAACGTAATTTGTTTAATTGTTTGCTCCTTTTTTGTTAATAGTGCAATATGGATATGTATATAGTGTTGCATGACCTCGCAATAGTCATTCAAAGTGTGACAGCGCTGAAAGCTGAAAATTGGCCTGGGCAGGAAGGGATGTATAAGTGTCTGGTAGGCAAGTGGTTAGGGAGCAAAGGATTCATTAAAGTAGGTTTCACTTTATATATCTAATCAGGTTAATAGAATAAATAAAACACTCAATAAAGTAATTTAATTTCACGGAAAGGCTGAAGATTATTTGTACATTGTTAATATTTATTAATGTTTATTTTGAAATTTAGTTGCTATCTGCCTCTATTTCCCATGTTTGATATGTAGAATGACCTGCATAATACATTGTAACATGGATTTGTTTATTCTTGAAGCCATTACATAAGTATGCCATTTCATAGTTACAAAGTTGCTTTTAGCTGTTCTGGGTCTGATAGAGATAGCCCTCAATACAGGAGCTGATGGAAGCTGCACTCAGTAGGGCTAGCTGTCAGCTTCCGATGATGTCAAGTGACTGATGTCATCTTACCTGTCAGGGTCACAAGTGCATCTGTCACTGGGATACATAGAACGGCTAAATAAAGGCCTAGTCCAGGACCTAAATATAGTATCGGCAAGCTGAAAGAGACAACGGTAACCTGAGCCGACAGATGATGATTGTTTTCCTTGGTTTTCTAATTTAAGGTTCTTTCAGCTGTGTGTAGACATTTGTAACTATTAAAGTGTACCTGTCACAAAATAATGAACTAGAATTTACAGAGGAGTACATAATTATGTAGGAAAAGGGCCACAGTGGTCTGATCCAAGTAATCGAGCTGAAAAGACCTATACAGCTCATTTTCTAATTGTGAAAATAAGTATCCATTAAACCTAAAGCAGCAGAAAAAAAATTCCATGCAGTGGGGTTGTGCTTGCACTGCATGGGTTAACTGCTCATTTTGTCCTGGGATGCACAGAAAGGCTGCACTCACCTGATCCTTCAATCCTCCAGAAAACCGCGCTCCCCCCACGTCCAGTGGTGGACTGTTCCTGCCGTCCTCACATCCAGAACTGGTGTATGGGCGTGATGACATCAGCAACAGTCTACCACACACTACTGCTAGACCATGAAAGGTTAGGAGCAGCAGGGACCAGTCTTGCACTGGGAGGATCGGAGGATCAGGTGAGTATATCTCGTCCCCTAGACAAAAATGAGCAGATAACCCATGCAGTGTAGATACAGCCCCACTTTATGGGTAAAAAAAATACTTGAATTCTTCTTTAAACTATGAGAAAAGACTAGAAGGTGGCCAAAGACTCTTGGATGAGCAGCTATGGTCCAACCACCCACCATCACCTTTGACACTTAGAATTTACATAAACACAAAATCTCTGCCTGGATGATTGTTCGCGTTCCTGTTATAGAGAGGGGAGGGTAACATTGCTTATCTGGGAGGAGAAAAATAGAACCGAAAGCTAAAACCATATATATGAGATCACCCGAACAGAGCAATTCCCTTGTCAGTAGGCATTTTAGTGTCCATGAATAGTGTAAACTTTGGTACGACTTACCAATGATAATAAAAGTCCTAAAATTCTAACTACAAAAAAATGAGTAACAAGAATGGGGTATGTCGTCCAAATAATTTTCCTTGTCAAAAACTGCAGTGTGATGGACAGTAGAGTGGCTTACTGATTAGCACTTCTGCTTTGCAGCACTAGGGTCCTTGGTTTGCATTCCAACCAGCATGGAGCTTACATGTTGCTGCTGTGTTTATGCGGTTTTCCTCCCAAACTACGTACACATGCTTGTAGGTTAATTGCTTCTTGTGTAAGTTGAACCTTTAGCATGTAGGGACTGATTTGAATGTACCATATGTAAAGCACTGCGTAAATTGTGCTATATAAAGAACTGTAGTAATGGCCTACTTGTGCAATCCATTGTCATTGCTTCAGAGTACATTGACCATTCACATTTGTTACAATAATGCAAGATATGAAATCTTCATGGAACCTTACAAATGAGCATCCTGAGTCTTAAAGTGGATCTTGCATGAAATGTCAACTTTTTGTAGTCCCTTCCCATCCCCTAATAAGTAATGCTAAAAATAGGTAAAAAAAAAAAAAAAAAGATCACCTTCCTTTGTGGCTTCCGGCGAGCTTGTCTTCTTGCGGAAACCTGAGGATTCCAAATCTCATGAAAAGCCACCTCTTCATAATGTTGCATTACCAGGATCCAGGGAGAAGGCCAAGTGACCTCATCTTCATCTACAGGAAGACAAAGTCTAAAAATAAGTTTTTTTTTAATAGATTTCATTAAATTTTTTTCTTATGTTTAAGATACTTTTTCTTATGGGCTCCAAAAGAAACAGACCTTTTATTTTCATGTAAAGTCCACTTTAACCATTTCAATACCGGGCACTTTTACCCCCTTCCTGCCCAGGCCATTTTTCAGGTTTCAGCGCTCTCACACGTTGAATGACAATTGCGCGGTCATACGACATTGTACACAAACTAAAATTTTATCATTTTCTTCACACAACTAGAGCTTTCTTTTGGTGGTATATAATCATTTTATGTCTTTGGTGAAAATAACCCAAATTAGGATGTATTATTTAGTTTGTAGGAAAGTTATAGAGTTCACAAACTATGGGATAGATCTGAATATTGATCAATCCTGAAGTACTGACAGCCAATCTGATTTCTTGAGGTCCAAGAATGTCAGAATAGTACAGATATCCCCAAATAACCCCTCTTTGCAAAGTAGACAGTCCGACGTACTTTATAAGAGGCATGGCGAGTTTTTTGAAGTTGTATTTTTTGTCATACTTTTTCGGAAAATGAAAAAATTCAAAAAATGATTTTCACTATTTTTTTTTACATACTGTCACCAGTGCAGTACAGCATCATCATATAACTGGCATGGCGGTGATCAGGGACACTGACTGGTGACAGTATGAAAAAAAAAAATATATATATCTTTTTTTTATTTTTTTTTATTTTAAATATTTTATTAAATTTTTTTTCTTTTTTTTAAGATTTTTTTTTCATATTTCACTATGACCAAAGTAGTTCAATGTTACCATAGTAACATTGTACTACTTTGGGGAAGTGATCAGTATTTTTTTTTTTTTTTTTTTTACACAATTTGCTTATAGCAAAGAATTACTTTGCTATAAGCAAGCTTTTACCTGACGTCGATTCATTCAGGGTTTTTTTTTTTTTTTTTTTGCTTAGCTGTGATTTGGCCACAGCTAATCACATGACATGTGTATGTGATTAGCTGTGACCATTCACAGCTAGACACTAATATACAATGGATGGCATGAATGAAGCCATCCATTGTATACAACTGTCATGTGACCTGCTGTGATTGGTCACAGCAGGTCACATGGTACCGACAACGGGGGCCGGTACTCAGATCTGTCATCGGCTGTGTCCGAGGTACATGGCTGCTGACAGATCGCACCACTGCGCGGCTCTGCAAGCGCGAAAACTGCGCATGCCCGGGAGGACGCCATATGGCGTCCACCCGGAAATCTACAGCATTTTGCCGGCCGCCAAACGGCTATTGGCTGGGCGGCTATTGGTTAAGACATTGTCACTAAATCAGTCACTGGAATATATGAAGTGATGTCCTTCACCATGCTATATGAGGTGATGTCATTGAGTATGATCCAGTAATAAGGACAATTGTGTTTATTCCATCAGGACCATAGCCACATATCACTCACTGCTATGACATCACAAGCTATGTGGCTTGTTCAGTAAGGTAAAGAGTAATGAGATGTGCAAAGTGCAGTAAACGCAGAGTGACAATTCCAGTTAGTGATTTCTTATTAATTGCTAGTGGTTGCTTTACTTTCACATTGTCCAATGCTTAAGTGAATAAGCCCACTTATGCCTCAGGTCTAAATGCCATCGGTTGGCATGTCAAATACATTTTGCATCTGCTAGTGGAACATTGCTCCATTACTAAATATCTTTAGCAGAACAAAATGCATTTTTACTTTTTTTGAATTGAGTGATTTCTTATTATATTTCTGATATTTAATAGTTTTACTATTGCAATACTGCTGAGTCGCCAGATGCATAGGGTTAGCCTGTCTTTTTCAGGTAAAGGTAGCTTCAGTTTTTGTAAGGTGACCGCCCAGATTAATGTGCAGCATTGGCTTATTACTGAAGCGCTACAGCTGAAAATCCCATCGGATACAGCTCAGACCAGTCACGTGACATCCTAAATGGATGCTGCGGTCTTGGGGTTGTGAAATTACTGCTCTGCTCTTCCAGGCTTAGGGCAAGCGCCTTTTTCTCTCTGAACTCATATCCATACACACTGTAATGCTCATTTTAATGATACATCTGGGAAAATAGCTGCAGTTAGCTGTTTAATTTCAGCAAGTGTTTGCATCTTGCTGTTACTGTATGTCACACGGGCAAAAGGCTTACCAGTTACAAGACTTACAAAACTTCCTATCTGTCCTTATAAGCTCACTGCGTGCTTTCTGTCAAGGAGTCAGCTGCAGGAAACCGTTCCCCGTCAATCTCAATGTCAGTATTTATATATTCGTGAATGTTTTGTCGGCTATTTTGTATGAAGCAAGCCTGCAGTTATATGTAGGTAGGGGTGAATCCTGAGGATACAGAGGGCAGGACAGGAGAGAGACAAGAAAAGTAGCAAGGATAAAAGTAGACATTGGTCTTTGGCCGACAGAATCTTCTAGAATCTGAGTTCTTTGAACAGCTCAAACCAGAACAATTTCCAGCAGGCATATAATATGTGGCTATGTGCACTCTATGTTTTTGTTTTGTTTTTATGATTGTGAACTTAGGCTGGACCTGCAATAAATGAGGTGAAGCAATCCAGAACTTTTTAGATTGAGGTCCTCGAAAGATGGACATATT